TTTATAACTTTATAAACGAATTTATTAAGAATGTTACTAAGAAAACTAAATTTAAAGAATACATATATAGTTGTTACGTCAAATTTCTAATCAATTACACATAATTGTTCAAATGTTTGTTAAAAAGTATTTTACAAATGCATAATTTTCCTTCATGACGTATCAGCACATTATTTTAAATATCAGTTTAAAATATTTTTACAGGAAATAACACCAAATTTGAATTTTTTTACAAGAGACATTAAACAAAAGGCATCGTTAAAGAGCACAAACTTGGCACTTGTGTAATTAGTCCCATTCACGAATTTTTTCGGGAGTGTTGAACTTTGCCTACTCATTTTACTGTATTTAAACGAATAATGTTTCTCAAACAATTTGGAAGCTATTCTTTTTGTTCATGAGTGGCTTATCTGTTCAGGATATGTAAGATAAAATCTTAAAATGTAGTTTTCTTGAACTCTTGTATTATGCATGAAATGCTTTATTACTTTGAAAGCACAATAAATTATTCTTTTACAAATGATAATTTTCTAAATTAGTTTTAAGATAACTTTGTACCTTGGGAAGGCAAAAATTGCAAATTATGTAAATGTTTGTTCTTTCAATTTTCTGCAACGATTCAATAATAATTTTTAAGAGAACTTTTTTGCAATAACTAGCGCAAAAAAACTCGGCCTGAATATGTTCAAGGTGCAAAGAACTACCATGATGCTAAAAGAATATAGAATGAAAAAACAAAAGTTGCTTTTAAAGTAGTGTTAATTGGTAAACACTTATTTTAATAATTTCAATAAGGTTTCTTGCGAAAATTAGCACTCGGATGCTTATACATTTTCCTCTATGTCACTATTTGACGTGTGTTAAATAGCATAACTTTAATACAACTACACAAATAAAAAAATTCAAGCTTGTCATAATTTCACTATTATGCATTTTTTGTAAAAAAATGATTCTTCATAAAAGAAGTTACAAATGATGAGAAGCTATAAAATATCTATATCACTATATTAGTGGTGTTGTTATGCCAACAGTGATCAATTAATAAATATTCTACTCGCGAACTAGGCGAGGCACTCGATGGATATTAGCATGCTGCCATAGAAATTTACCTTTGTTTCAACAGTTTTACGTATTCATATCTACTCACCTCACAATAATTCAAATGGTATTGTGCCAAAATAAATAAAAATTAATAGAGACAATCAAATTTAGAACAGGTGTAATAACAGGTGTTATTTTTCGTCTTATTTCTTTCATCACACCATAAAGAACGAATTAATATCATACACGAATTGCTACAATATGTGATTAGCAAAAATACCTAGTCAATAACTTTTTGCAATTAGTCCATTATAAAGATTAAAACACGCACTAATTCTGTATCGAATGAAAACAGGTAAGGTTACACCTTAATAAAATTTTATTCCAGCCCTCCTTTGTTTATCCTGTATATAAATTAAAACGGGGCGTGAAAAGTGATTGCAGACAGATAACAATTTTTGGAATTGCGTGAAAACTAGCAATTACACGGCAAGTTTAAAAATCTCCAAATTTATATGTAGATACATATTTAGAAATCCTTGTGTTACTGATGAGTGATGACACTGAATTAATTAAATTAAACATACAGCAAATTAATGGATATACAATCATTTTTAGAACTGTTAAAAAAATATTGATTATTTAAAAAAATAGAAATATTTTTATTTCTACTAGG